GAGGAGGGCTGGGAGCAGAATTTATGCTGTCAGCTTCTCTCTGATAACCCCCAGAGCTCCTCTACCAGCTGCACACAAACACCCCAAGCTGAACTGGCACCTTGGGCTATTTGCTAGAGGTAAATATTGACATGGAGAATCTCAGAGAAGCACAACCCGGCAGCAGAGATAGCAAGCTGAGTAACGTGGTGGGTTTTTTTGTTTGTTTGTTTTGTTTTGTTTTTTTTTTTTTTTATCTTTTCTTACTCTCCCACATATTCCTCCTGATCTACAGCTCTTCTAGGCTGCAGCTTGGTCCTTTTATTGAAACCTGGGCTCCTGCCCCAGCTGAAAGCATTTTGCTGCTGCAGGGGCTCTGCCTGCCCCTGCCTGCCTGGGGAGCACTCCCTATGGTCAGGGCCATGGGGATTAGTGTTTCAGAGCAAGCAATAAATTCCTGAGATGTGTAAGATTCAGCTGAAGATTAAAGCCAGGGAGGAAAATCAGCTGTAAGAAGTGGAATGTTTTCCTGGCTCAGCCTGTGCTGGGACACACAGAAACCCAGGAAAGATGAAGACACCCTGGGAACAGACGTGGAGCTGAAATCTCATGTCTGGGAGGTTTGCACAGGGAAGAGCTGGATGCAGTGGGAAACATACTGGTTTTCCAAGGCCTGGAGATACTTTCTGCTGCCTGACAGTGGTAGAAGCCCAGGCCAGTGCTGAGGCTGGGCAGGGTGGGCACGTGTCTGGGTCACTTTTCCCTTGCACAAGCATTTTGAGAAAAAAAAACTTTTCTTTAAAGTCCCAACGGTTTGGAATAAAAGCTGGAATGTGTCTGGGGACTAGAAAATAAATCCCTCTTCGCACAGGGCTGGTCAAAGCAGCACAAGCACAGCTTAAATCTTGCTTCCCACACATGACACCCTCCTCTATAGCAAGTTCCCCTCCGTGGGTCATTTTTTAACATTTTGATGGCCCACATGTTGTTCAGGAGGGGTTTCATCCCCACGCAGTAGGATGCAGGGATGGGAGTGAGCCCAGTTGATTCCTGTAGTGCTGGAGGGTACAGAGAGGGGGCAAAGCAGGGAAGCAGAAATTTTAGGTGCTTGTCACCTTGGTGTGACTGCCCTGTGAAGGGCAAGGGAGCCCAAGCATCACTATCCTCACACCCAGAGGCACCAGAGCGTCCTTACACACACACCAGCATCCCGTTAGGAGGGTTGGGTTTATTGCAGAAGCACTCTCAATCTCACCAAAACGAGGGAGCACCCAGCTCAGCCCACAGAGCTCCAGGCAGCCCTGCCACGAGCTGGTCAGTACAGGAGGAGGGAAACCCGGTGCTGCCTTCCTCGCTTTGCTGGGGCATGGAGGGAAAGGGCTGGGAGCAGGTTGCCCATGGAGTTGGTGGCAGAGGTGCCTGGCAGTTCCCTGAGGAGAAGCTCGAAGCTCAAAGTGACCCTCCTGCTTGGTGGCTGTGGCTGTGGCGTTCATGCTCGCTCTGATTCCAGAAGAAGTGAAGGCACCTGGAAGATCCCTTCCTTCTGCCCACTGCCTTCTGCCTAAGAGGATGCTGAGCGTGGAATAGCGAAGAACTTGGCTGGTATTGCCCTCCTCTCTATCTCCAGCCACAGGGAGAACAAATCTGTCTCCTCGTACTTGATGGCGAACTGGAAGGTGAAGTTCTGCAGCAGTGTGGTGAGGAAGAGGAAGAGCTCAATGCGGGCCAGCGCCTCTCCTGGGCACATCCGCTTCCCTGGGGGCACGGGAAGAGGAGAAAGCTCAAATTAAGGGTACAGCTTTGGTGCCAACCCATATTGCTGAGGGGGGGTCCCCCGGAACAGAGCTGCTGCGGGTGGGGTGCAGGGCTGAGTGCTGACCTGCTGAGAAAGCCATGAAGGCTTCACGCTTCCTGAACTCGCCCTTCTCGTCCAAGAAGTGGTTCGGGTCAACGTTTTTGGGGTTCTCCCACTGCGTTGGGTCCGAATGCACAGAAGAAAATACTGGAATCACAGCTGTGCCCTGCAGGAGAGGGAGGAAGGGGGGACATCAGTGCCATGACGTAGGGCTCTGCTGAGAGGGGTTAGAGAGCGAGGAGGACCTGGGGAGGGGGCACGGGGGAAGGCTGGTGCACCCCCTGATGCCCACCCAGATGACCACGGGGAGACAGCCCAGAACAATGGCCAGGGCTCTGCTGCTCCCAGGGTCCCACAGGTCTCCCTGCACCAGGAGGCTGAAGTTACTGAGTTATTCCCATCGATCTATCTCCTCGCTGTGCAAAGTCCAACGGATGGTGGTGTACCCTCAAGGCAGCTGCTGTTACAAAATTCCAGGGGCCAAACTGGGCCCCGTGGCTGCCCCCAGATCCACTGAGAAGGTGGGGGCTCAGGCCCCCAGCCCCAGCAGTCCCACAGGTCTCCCTGCTGGGAAGGGGTCTTCCAAGGACTGGCAGGGGACACAGGGGTGGAGGCAGAGCTGGCAGCACCATCCACCTCCCTCTCCTACCCCACCAAAAGGTTATCACCACGTCCCCATGCCGAGAATTGGGAAAGAGCCGGGACCTTCGGCTGGGAGCGAACAGTCCAAGGACAAAGGCAGATCTCGTTCCAGCTCCCCTGCCACCCCCACCTCGGGGTCTACCTTGGGGATGGTGTAGCCCCTGAACACGACGTCCTGCGTGGTCATGCGAGGGAAGTTCTCGATGCGTGTCTTGTGGAAGCGCTGCAGCTCGTGGATCACAGCGTTGGTGTAGGGCATCCTCAGCTTGTCCTCCGTGCAGGGAGCGCGGCCGCTGCCTACCACCGCGTCGATCTCCTCCTGCACCTTGGCTGGGGAGCAGGCAGCCGTGGAGCTGCAGAGCTGGCTCTGCAAACCCACCTACCCACCCTCATTTCTTTACTGGCCTCTCATGGGCACCTATGGAGCCAAGGGGTGGTCTAGCAGAGAGGGAGAAACCTTGTGGAGACCAGAAATAGGGTCTCTGTCCACATGGCTCACTGGATCGAGGTTCAAAGCATCTCTCATAGGCCCCCACAGGGCCACCTGCACAGGCAGGAGTGAAGGGAGCAGGTATCTGGATCGCTCTGGCCTGTGTGAGTCTAACAGCTCTCACCCTTGGATGAGCCATGCAGGATGATTTTGATCTCCTCCCAGACAGGACCTGCCAGGGCTGGGACTCTGTCTACACCCGTGCTTCACCATGAGCTCCTCGGGCACAGGGAGCAGTCACATCTCGCTGCCCTTACCTTGAATGTGGGGGTGTTTTGCCAGGATGAAGAGGAAGAAGACTAGGGCGTTGCTAGTAGTCACTGTCCCAGCACCAAAGAGGTTGAATACTGACATGATCAAGTCTTCGCTGCTGTACATATTCTCCTTGCTGTTTTTCTCCTGCAGGGACATGGTGGGAGGGGATTAAGGGTCATCTGAGTGATTTCCCAGGCTGCAGCCAGGTCTGGAGGGCCCCTCACCCCTCTTTCAGCACCTCTACCTTCTCTGCTTTCATAAGGAAACAGTCGATATAGTCCCGGGGGGAGCTGGGATCCAGCGTCTGCTTGTGAAGTTCAACTCTTTTTCGGATGTAGTCCTTCAGCTTCTCACACTCAGCCAGGACTTTCTGGTGTGGCCCGGGGAGGCATTGCATGATGCTGGGGAAGGTGTTGTAGATCTGCAGGTGGAGGAGGCACAGAAGGGTGGCTCGGGTGCCTGGACAGAACCTCACACACCTTCCCTCAAAGCCATGCTGTCCTTTCAAAGCCAAGGAATGACCCAAAGCCAAGGAGTGACCCAAAGCCAAGAAGCATCCTCTGGCCACCCAATCCCATTGGACATGGGGGTGCTGAGCACAGCAGGGACACCTACCTTGGCGACAGGGGAGAGGAAGAAACTGATGTAATTCCCAACTGCGTTCAGGAGCTCCAGAAAGACTGTGTCGCTGTAGCTGTAGCGGCTCCCGAAGACAATGGAGCAGATCACGTTGGCAACTGCGTATTTGAACGTCGTCATTGGTTCAAAGGCATCTCCTGTGACCACAGCAAAGGCAAGGAAGGCATCAGAAAGTCAACACTTATCTGCCTCAACACAGAAAACACACTTCCTCCCTCTTCGGGTGCCTTTCTTTAGAGCTCTGAGCCCTGGTTGAATCTGGCAGGTCTAACAGCCAAAGCAAAAAGGCCTCCTGAGCTGTGGGCTCCTTCATCTACCTCCTTGCTCCTAAACTCCCCCCCAGCACTTGGGACTGAGGAGAGCTGAGTCATCTCCAGGTGCTTTAGTGTCCCTCTGACGTGCCCTGGTGATTTGGGGGGCTGCAGAATTTCTTCCTGTGGCAGCCAGCTTCCGGCCAACACCACACATCAAAGGCAGAGGGACTAGCACACGACTGAGCTTCCATCTCCTCTTCCGGAAGCCCCAGAAGAGGTGGTAGCACTGGCAGCAGCTCAGTTTTGTTGGAGAGGAGGAGATCACCCCGATCTTATTTGTGCATTCTCAATGCCGTGCAGTTTAATTCCCTATTTCTGTTCTTTGGGCAAGAGAACATCTCAGAGGGTGCCACCCCCTGCACCAGACGAGGAGCAGGATATCCCACCCTGGTCTCTAAGCCATGACCATAATGCATCCCTGCAGTTGTCTCTGGTTGGGATGGGGCTGGGTCTAAACCCTTTCTCTAAGGGATCACCCACACCAGCCATTGCAGAGAGCTTTGGGGACCACACGTGTCCCATGGGGCTGTGTCCTCCACCTGCCACGGGGGCCAGAGCAGACAGGACCAGCATCACCTTTGAGTTTTGCCAGCTCTTCCACCAGGTGCTGGGCCTCCTCCTGCACACGCTGCGACATGGAGCTTTTCCCCATCCCGAAGTCCCTCAGGGTGGTGACCGTGAACCTCCGCAGCTCCCGCCACTTCTTCTCGTTGTTGGAGACAAAACCTGCAGGGAGGCAGAGGAGACCACTCACTTGCTGGCCACCCCCCACTCCTTCCGAGGGATGAGGGACCCTGCTTGAGCCCGGCTGAAGAGCAATGGGACAGTAAGCCAGGGAACAACCCTGGTGTATGTATCATATCCTTGAAAAGCTGAGGAGCTCCACAGAAACTCAGGGCAAAGTTGGAACTGGCTGACTGGAATTCATACTGTCCTTGGACAAGAGGCTGAAGAGTTGGAGGGAATTGCAGAGTGGGAAATGATTGTTTGAGGTCTTGGGTGTTGAGTCCTTCACTAGACTCAAGCATGACCAGCTGCACTTGAGAGCTTTCTGCTCACTTGGAGAGCAATGGTGTCTAGAAAAAACCCGGACACCTACCATAGTCTTTCGACAGCTGTATCAGAAGAGGTATTCTGGGTCTCCCTCCAAACTCCTCATAGTGTCCCACCAGAGCATCCTTTACTGCCTCGTACCCGCAGAGCACCACCACAGGCTTCAGCCCCAGCCAGACGGTGAAGATGGGGCCGTACGTGCTGCTGAGCTGGGGGAGGATGGAGGAGCTGCGGTGAACGGGGGCCCTGCACCACTGCTTTCATTTTAGATTAGGTCTCCTGGCCTCAGTGCTGGTGAGGGCTCAGGCAGGGAAGGGAAGAACCTCCCTCAAAGCTGGTGTTCTCACCCTGTTCCCATCCCAGACCTGTCCTGGAGGGTTCTGCCCCAATCTCACTTTGGGAGTTTGAAGAAGACCTTATTGCAGCCTTTATTATATTTTTTAGCAGAGCCTGTTGCAACAGCACAAGGGGTAATGGTTGTAAACTGAAAGAGGAAGATTTAGACTAGAGAGAAGGAAGAAATTTTTGACCCTGAGGGTGGTGAGCCCCTGGCCCAGGCTGCCCAGAGAGGTGATCGCTGCCCCATCCCTGGAACTATTCCAGGGGAGGTTGGTTGGGGCTCTGAGCAACCTGCTCTGGTTGCAGATGTCCCTGCTCCCTGCAGGGGGGTTGGATGAGATGACCTTGAAAGGTCTCTTCCCACCCAAACCAGTCTGGGATCCTATGGTTCTGTCATCTCCAGGAAGCAGCTCTGGGTGGCATCAGTGCTGCAGCCTGGGAAGGGGTTACTATCACTGCGGTGGGTCCCTTGTAGAAGGAGAAAGACACCATTAACAGTATTGATTATAGAATCCTGGAATCATTTTGATTGGAAAAGACCTTTAAGACCATTGAGTCCAACTGTTAACGCAGTGCTGCCACGTCCATCACTAACTGTGTCCTGTCTCCACAGCTTGGAGACCCCTCCAGGGATGGGGACTCCACCTCTGCCCTGGGCAGCCTGGGACAGCCATGGACAACCCTTGCAGTGAAAAAATGTTTCCTCATGTCCAACCTAAACTTCCCCTGGCACAACATGAGGCCATTTTCTCTTGTTCTATCACCTGGGAGAAGAGATCCACCCCCACCATGCTCCCAGGAGCAGAGATTTAGGCAATTCTGCCAGCGCAACAGAAGGAGGAGGGAAAAAGAGAAAGAAACTCAGGAAAAGAGTCACCAGCAAGATTCCCCTCTTATTTAGGCACAGGACATTCATGCTTTCTCTCTTGCTGGGGCTGGGAGAGGGTCCAGCACCATCAGCTCCTCTCTTACCTTCTCGTAGGTCTTGTAGAGGGGCATGACATCCTTTTGCCGTAGGTTGCCCAAGATGGGCCATGGGGCTGGTCCAGGAGGCAACTGGCTTCTCTTCTTACCACTTTTCCAGACCAGGAACCAGAGGAAGGAGAGGAGGAGGAGGGTAACGAGCACCACAGCCGATCCAATGTCCATCCTCACCTGTGCTACCAAGCAGGGGGGAAAAAGAATCAAGAAATTCCCACTCCAGGAAGAAAATCTCAACTGATCAGTGAGCAGAGAGGAGCCCAAACCTGCTGCCTCTGCCCGCCCTTGTGTCCTATCTGGCCAGAGCCCTTCCCACATGCCCGGGGTCATCTGCTGCGTGTCCTCCCACGTCTCCCCGGGCGGTCAGTGACACAGGAATGCTGTTTTCCCCTGGCCGAGCACATGCCTGGCCCCTCCATGTTGTCACACAGGTCTCCAAGAGCTGGCACGGGGCACTGGAAGGGTTGCAAAACCCCGCGGGGAGCTGGGAGGGAGCTGGGGAGATAGTGGCTCTCCCCGCCCTGCGTTGCTGAGTCAATTTTTGCCCAGTGTTCCCTTCTGAAAGCACGTGACAGAAGTTGTCACCATCCTGGTGGAACCTCATGTGTCACTGTGTGGGCATCTCTCGTTTTGTCCAGGTACTCCCAGGGGGGCAGGAGGACATCTTGTCCTGGCCGTGCCCGGTCCCAGTGGCAGGCTCTGCAGGGGTTGGGGAGAAGCTCTGCTCAGGGGAAGGGTCATGGTGCTGGATCTGACCCAGGGTCATCAGAGAGAGGAGGCTCAAGGAGTTAAAAGAAATGATGCTCATGAGGTATCTTTTAGTTGGAAAAGCTGCGAGGCAAACAGGGCAGCGCAGAAGTGAGAGAAGAAGGCCCCAGTTATATAAAGAAGTCAATAAACTCTCTGGGCTACTAGATCTAGGAAGATCTGCTGGAGGAAATCAGGATGGTTGCCCCTGGCTCTTAGCTAGTCCTTCTCTGCAGACGATGTCAGAAACCTTGGCAAGGATCAGGACACATCCCACCTCACGGGGAGGAGGATGGGGAGCAGAGGCATGGGTCTGACTGGGGGCAAACAGCCACAGAAACACTGAGTCACCCAGGCTGGAGCCACCTCTGGAGATCATCTCCTCCAGCCTCCCAGTCCAGCAGGACCACTGGGAGGAGGCTGCTCCAGGCCATTGTTGAGCTTTGAATCTCTCCAAGGATGGAGACTCTGCAGCCTCTCTGAGCAACCTCTTCCCATGTTCCACCACCTCTTGCCACTTGGCACTTTGGAGGAGATTCTGGCCCTGTCTCCTCCACCACTGTCCATCAAGCATTTATCCATGTGGATAAGACATCCTTGAGCCATCTGCTCTCCAGGCTGAACCACCCCAGCTCTCTCAGCCTCTCCTCATTGGAGAGATGCCCCAGGCCCTTCATCTTCACTGAACTCACTCCACCACTTCCACATCTCTCTTCTACTGTGGAACCCAATGTGGGACATGACACCCAGGTTTGTCTCACCACCACTGAGCAGAGGGGCAGGATCATCCCCCTGACCTGCTGTTGGTGCTCTGCCTGATGCAGCTCAGGACCCTGGTGGCTCCTTTGCTGTAAGACTGCACTGCTGGCCCATAGTCAGCTTACTGGCCATCAGAACCCCCAGGGCCAACTCTGCCAAGCTGCTTTCCAGCTGGGTGGCCCCAGCAAGTCCTGGTGCCTGGGGCTGCTCCTCCTCAGGGACAGGACTTGGCTTTTCCCCTTGATAAAACTCACCAGGTCTTTTTCAGCCCATTTCTCCAGCTTGTCCAAGTCCCTTGGGATGGCAGCTCGACCCTCTGGTCATCAGCCACTCCTTCCACTTTGGTGTCATCTCCCAGCTTGCTGCGGGGGCATATCCATGTCATTAATGAAGATGTTAAAATTTGTGGAGATTTCTGGGCCACAAGCTTTCAAACAGGCTTTGTGGCAGCACCAAAGGGTGGCTTTTACACCATGTGAGGTTTCAACCTGGGCTTTGTGAAGCCCACCTTACCTCCATGAGCTGCTCCTTGCATTGTTCCTATTGAAGCCATTTTCCAAGGATAGAGTAGAGTAGAGTAGAGTAGAGTAGAGTAGAGTAGAGTAGAATAGAATAGAATAGAATAGAATAGAATAGAATAGAATAGAATAGAATAGAAACAAATCACTATGGTTTGAAGGGACCTCTAGGATCATCAGGTCCAACCTTCATCCCAACATTTCGCTAACCACTAGACCATAGCCTCAAGTGCTACATCTACTAATTTTTTTAACCCCTCCAGGGATGATGACTCCAGCACCTCCCTGGGCATCCCCTTCCAGTGCCTCACCACTCTCTCAGTAAAGAAATCCTTCCTAATATCCAATCAAAACCTCCCCTGGTACATCTTGAGGCCATTTCTTCTCATCCTATCATTAGTCTCTCATTGTCCTATCATGCAGACTGATGCCCACATCCAGCCTTGGGTATGGAGCAAAGCAACTCCTGAGAGTTCCCCTGATCTCATGCTTTGTTTCAGCTCTGCTGGCTTACACTACTACCCTTATGCTAAGGCAATTAATATCACCCTAAGTCAATTTTCCCCCACCAGCAGCCCAAAGCCTCTAGAGGTGCCCGGCTCACCCCGGGGGCCTCGACCGTGCGGAACAAAGGCTGGGTAAAAATAGCTGCAAACTATTTTAATCTCTCCTCCTTTCCCCCCTGCAAGGCCAGGGGTGAGACAGCCCCGGCCAGCTCATGACTAAGCTGGAGTATTTTTGGTTGCTCTGAATAATGCAGCAGTACTCGCTGCGTCGGAGCCTGGCCGTAATTATGGGCGGGTGTCGTTTGTCATCACTGTCATCTCCTCTCTGGGCTGCAGCTCCACGGCAGCGTGATGCTAAAGCCCCTTTCACACTCCCAGGGGTTGTTTCTGGGGTTTGCTGTGGGATCCTTCAAGGAAATCTGGTTTTACACCACTGATCAAGGCAGACCCGCCCCGGCGTGGAGGAGAGGCACCACTGGATGGGTCTCGCCAAGAAAAGTGTGTTTGGCTTGGTCCCAGGGTTTTCTCTGGGGTGAGGCAGGCAGAGCAAGGGAGCAGGTCCCCTCCACCAACCTCGTGCTGATAGTCCTCAGCTGAGGTCCTCAGCTGAGCCACCCGCCGTGGTGGGGGCTCACTGGAGATGGATGGTGTCGGCGTGTCGTAGTGCCAGGTCCTGGAGATGGCCTGGCAGCACAGGCATGCAGCAGGGCTTTGGGCTATCAGACACCTGCCCGCTTTGAGCATCCGGCGCCAGAGGAGCATTGGGACCTTCCTTCATCCGTCTACACATTGCAGTTCAATCAAGCAAGCAGCTTGGTCTGGTTTTCCATGGCTCGCTCATCCCACGAGGAGGATGAAACTTTCTCCAGTACCAGCACGTTTCTTCTGGTCTGAAAGTCCATGGAACATCTCAAAGGTCTCTGGGAGCCCTGTGAGACACCAGGGACAGGTCCTGCTGCAGGTAGGAGATTCAGGCAGGTAGTCTCACCTCACGTCTCACCAAGTAGGAAGACAAGTCAAGCAGGAAGATGAAGCAATTCCCATTTGCATTCAAAATACATCATGGTCAGCTTGCTTCTGGTCTACCACAGTTTTAGTTTTAATAGTGGCAACAGCACGTTAGTGGTGACAAAGGAGAGCAGAGCATTGGGAAAAGTGGTGGAAAGGTTTGTGGCTCACCAGGGACCACCAGCCTTCATTTTGTTCCTTCAGTGAGAGAGATGGACGTTCTGCTTCTTAATCAGAAGTCAGATGAAAGTAGCCTGTGTTTGAAGAGCCTGCAGGACCAATCCTGCTCCAAAGCAGGGGCAGGGGTGTGTCTGTAGTGGATTTACATCCGCACCAGGAGCTTCCCATCCAGCCTCCACTTGCCTAATTACCCAGCAGCAATCTCTCCCTGAAATTCCCTGGAGAGCAAGGTGGGCTGTTTATGCTGGGTCTGGACTATGAACAAAAGGGGCAATTCTGTGCTCTGGATCACTCCAGAAAACGCTAGGCAACCCCAGGCAATGCTCCAGACTGGGGAAGACTGGCTGGAAACTGCCTGGCAGTAAAGGACCTGGGGGTGCTGGTGGGCAGCCAGCTGGAGACGAGCCAGTGTGCCCAGGAGGCCAAGAAGGCCACCAGTATCCTAGCTTGGATCAGCAGTAGTGAGGCCAGCAGGAGCAGGGAAGTGATTGTGCCCCTGGACTGGGCACAGGGGAGGCCACAGCTTGAGTATTGGGGGCAGTCTTGGACATCACAGTAGAAGAAAGACCTTGAGACCACAAAGCTGATGAAGGGTCTAGAGCCCAAGTGTGGGGAGGAGCAGCTGAGGGACCTGGAGGTGCTGAGCCTGGAGCAAAGGAGGCTCAGGGGAGACCTTCTGGCTCTCCACAGCTCCCTGACAGGAGGTTGGAGTGAGGTGGGTGTTGGTCTCTTCTCCCAGGTAACAAATGATAGGATGAGAAGTGCCCTTAAGTTGCATCCAGGGGAGATTTTGATTGGATATTAGGAAGAATTTATTTCCTGCAAGAATAGTGAGGCATCAAACAAGACTGCCCAGAGAGGTGGTGGAATCCCCATCCCTGGTACCTGGTGTTCAAAACACATGTAAATGTGGCACTTGGGGACTTGGTTTCATGATCATAGTAGCATTGGGTTGATGGTTGGAGTTGATGATCCTAGAGGTCTTTTCCAAGCTTAATGATTCTATGGTTCTATGAAAAGGATCCTGCTGCTCTCCCTACACCCTGGTTCCTAACGGGACCTGGTCCTGATCCCAGTTCTCCATAAACATGGCTCTATTTTTAAACAAGATGATGCAGCTTTCCAGGGTGGGTTGCTTGGTGGGTTGCCAGTGAGAACATGCCAGTAGCCCAAGTGCCATCCAGAAATGTTGGGAGAGAGCAGATCTCATGCTGTGTGCATGGGAAATCAGCTGAGCCTTTCCCTGCTCCCATTTCCCTGTCCCATTTCCCTGGCAGCAAGAGGGGCATCCCAGTGGCGATATCAGCCAGTTGTTACACAAATCGTTTAAGGGATGTAAAATCTGGGGGCTTTCTTAGAACAGCTGTCCTGAAACCTTCCTGTCCTGCTGTTCACTGTTCCTGCAATAATTACAGAGAGGAGAAAAAAAAAATCCCTCTCCCTTCTCCTC